GGGAACACAGAGATTGGCCTCTGACCAGGTGACCTGCTACATACTAGAAGAGGCCAGGAAGGAGGTATAAAGAGGCCATGTGGTCGATGCCATTTTGTTCTCAGCTCAGCACTTCATCCCAGAGGCAGCATTGCAGGGATCAAAGAGCCCGGAAGACCTGAGAACCCATCCTGATGCGAGGATGTGCAACAAGAACTTTTAAACCAGCAGCTGTAACATCTCTGCTAGAGCCTGCATCGAGGACTGGGAGATTCGGTGCATGTAACTTACTATTCTTTAACAACCTGACTCTCATGCTTTTCTTTCTTGTGATAATAAACCTTTAGTTTTAGATTCTAAAGGATTGGCCCAGCGTGATTTGTGGGTAAGGTCCAGAGGGTAAATTGACCAGGGATCTGTGGCTGGTTTCTTGGAACCGGACAGAACTTGTTCGGGGAAGGTGGGATTGGGTGCTAGGACCCCCCACCTGTGTATGAGGCCCGGGGCCATCTGGGGCACGGATATTGCTGGCGTGTCAGAGGGGTTTTGCTCGGGAGGCTTCAGGCAAGCAGCTGAAGTGCTCTGTGGGACTGGTTTGTGGCCTGTTTGGAGAGGTCACCAGTCTGGGGGCTGTAAGGAGCCCTGGATTTGAGCAATTTGCCCTCAGCTCTGCCCAGACACGGCCCGGTCCGTCACAGCCCCCGGAGACCACAGTCCTGGGCTCCCCGAGGCAGCCCCTCCGGCAGGGCCCGGTTCTGCTCTGCAGCCCCCAGCTGGATGAACACGGCACGTTCCTGCCTCCCCGCAGCCTCCCCTTGCGCCTCCATTCCTGGGCTCCTCCCCGGGAATGGCCAATTGTTCTGGATTATTGGGGCTTTCTGGGGTGTGCCACAGGCTCAGACTGGGCCAGACTCGTGTCACTTGTGTCCAATCAGGGTTAAAATCGGGTTCTCGAGAACTGGCGGCAACCAGTGCATTAGCCCGCTGCTTGTTCCACCCTCCCCGTCTGAGCCAGAGGCATGGACACCCCATAGACCGGAAAAAGCCAGTAGGTGCCTGCGGGGGGAGAACCGGATTGCATCTGTGTTGGGAGACCTGGAGCGTAGAATCTTTACACGAGGAGTAAATTCTTAACACAGCAGCTGCCTCCACTCCCAGGCAGGAGGAGACTCTGTGCTAACCTTTCCAGGAATAGCAATGGAAGGGCCCTGCCTGCCAGCACAGACTTGGGAACAGCCACCCAAAATGCTGGGCCAGCGCTGCCCTCTGCAGCAGCCTGAGCGTTTCCAGTGCACACGATAGAGCTGTACCGTGGGAGACAATCAATCACAGCTAACAGCATTACGTTCCGGGGAGCTGGCAGCGCGGGCGAGAGAGAGGATGGGAAAGGTGGAGTGGACAGCCCAGACCTGGGGAGGGATGTGAAGACTCCAGCCAGAGTCCTCAGACGCACCCGTGCTGCTCTCGCCCATGCAGCTTAAGCACGTGTGGGACCAGTGATGGGTGGCTGGAGAACGGCCCGCTCCCAGGCTCAGCGCGTGACACCTCCCGGCCCGATCGCGCCCTGCATGTGTTTTTCCCCCTTGAGGTCCCTTCCAGGCCTTGTGCTCTATGCATTCTCTGCAATGACTGCAGATTAACTCATCCCAGAAGGAGGGAAATCTGGGGAAAGGTTGGAGAAAAGGCTGGGTGCAGCACCCCAAGCTGCAACCCGGCCTCATGCTGTGCGGAGCCGGGAGGGCTCCCTTTCTCTACAACCAAACCCATGAGCACTGCAGATTCATGCTCAGCTAGCGAGCAAAATTAAGCCAACTGATTCTTAACTTTTGCTGCTTCCCTTTGTGAAGGAAATCCTCCGGGATCCTGCTGTGATTGTCCAAAACGACGTGCCGAGAGGTGCCGGCCGTTCACGTAGGGTATGTCTACACTACCCTCCTAGTTCGAACTAGCAGGGTAATGTAGGCATACCGCACTTGCAAATGAAGCCTGGGATTTGAATTTCCCGGGCTTCATTTGCATAAGCGGGGCACCGCCATTTTTAAATCCCCGCTTGTTCGAACCCCGTGCAGCGCGGCTACACGGGGCACGAACTAGGTAGTTCGAACTAGGTTCCTATTCCACGAGGAGTAACGGTAGTTCGAACTAGGAGGGTAGTGTAGACATACCCATAGAGATTTATGGAAGGGTCAGCGCCGCTGTTTAAAGAGACACGTTAAGGAGCACGTTAACACGGAAATAAACCCACATTGATCCACACTGGAAAAACCCACCCTCGTTCTGAACTGGATCCCAGCTAGGACAGCAGAGGGCGTCTCTCTTCTCTACAGCAGAGGCATTAGCCAACTCGCTGTGCAGTTCAACCCCCGGCAAAGCAGGTTCGTGACCCCAGATGGCGTTCACTTCTTGCCCTGTGGACCGAAGGCCTGTGGAGCGTGTAGCCGAGATGGTGGCATTGCCGGTGCTGGTCTCACTCCTGTGTATCTCATGCTCTACTCCCTCCCCCACTTCTTCCAGCGATTATTAATCGGAAAAGCTGGCGGATTGGTCTTATTGCCTTCTAACGCCCCGAGTCTGGCACCGCACACACAACTGAAGCACTTTGTGTGTCTCCTTTCCCTTCCGCCAGACGCTCGCATGGCTCCTTAAAGCCCGGAATGAATTTAGCAGCACAACCCCCCGCCTCAGGTGGGAAGCTAAATAGAATGGGCCAAGTTCTCCAAAGAAATCGGTCCCCTTTAAACACCATAACTAGTGGCCAGATTTCCCCAAGGTGTTTTCAGGCCCCGGTGAGAGGCTCTGGGGGTGTTCTGGTGAGTTTGGGGCATCTGTCAGCTCCTAGCAGTCGGCTGGTCTCCAATTCAAATGCCCGTCTGCGGTTTGGAGCAGCACTCCCCCAGGGCAAGGGCAGGCAGGAGGAAGCGTGTTGTGCTAGCAAGGCTGGAGAGGGCCTCGAGGTGGAGCCTGGGTCCATGCTGGCAGAGGTGTGGCTGGTGATTGCTGACGCGAGCCTGGGGCACAGGTGTTCGGACAGGCAGGCGGAGCGAGTGGCCAGGTGGCAGTGGGTGTGAACTCACCACTCGCCTCCCTTCCCACCCAAACCAGGACAGCACCACCCAACCTCGGCCCCACCCCTTTGCACACCTTCCTGGCCCGTGATCCTGGAGAATTCCTAGGCAAACAGCCTGAGAGACCCTCCGTGGGCACGGGGCTATGGCGACACGGCTGAGAATGGTCCCCGTGATCTGGTGGCTCTGCTGGGCAACAAGCCAAGGGACTGAGCTGGGCCGACATCCCAGAAGATTCCTCTCGGCACCTGGTCCAGGGACAGAGGTCCCTTTGCACAGAGATTCACGAGCCCAAGCTAAGCCCTGAGACCGGCTCAGTGCCCAGCAGATCCCTTGGCACAGCGCCCCAGAGGAGGCTGCTGGTTCTGCCCAGGGATCCCTAAATAGGGCTCCTCCTCCCCAGTGCTTTCTCAGGTCCCTGACCCACAGGCTCACGCTCAGCCAGGCTGACTGCCAGCTACCCTGGCCACAGCAACAGGGGGGCGGCTGAGGCAGGCCACAAACGTGAGCCCAACTGGCTTATTTACTAGGCAGCAGCACGGCCAAGGAGCAGCTCCAGCGAGCAAGAGGCAACTAGGGCAGCAGGTTATTCTTAGTAAGCGCGTGCGAGGCTGCAGCGCCGCGTTTAATGGATGCCCACCCCGGGTCTCTCTGCTCCTCAGGGCTGGAGGCTAGTTGCTTTCTCCCCCTCTCCGCTGCTTCCATGGCCCAGCGATGTGGCCGCGGAGGGAAGAACGCAGGGCTTGCCCGATCGGATGCGACGTTAGGAGGAGGAAAGGAGAATTAGAAAAACTTATAAAACAACAAAAGACAGGACTATGCAGCACTTTAAAGACTAACAAGATGGTTTATTAGGTGATGAGCTTTTGTGGGCCAGACCCACTTCTTCAGATCAAATTGTGGAAGAAAATTGGCATGACCATATATACCAAAGGGATACAATAAAAAAAAGTGAACACGTAAAACTGACAAATCAGATTTTAGAACGGTGGGGGGGGGGGGGGGGGGAGGACAGGACAGGGGAGGGAGAGAAAGCCCTGAGCCTCACTGTGCAGCCCAGCTGGCAGAGAAGCAGCACGTCCCCTCCCTCTGCCGGCTGGGGGAACAGCAGCACGTGGGCAGCACTTCTCCCCCGCGAGCCAGATTGCGCAGTGAAGCTCGGGGCTTTCTCCCCGCCCCGCCCGGCAACTCCGGTTGCCTACATTAACCACCCTAGTTCGAACTAGGGGGCTAGTGTAGACATACCCTCAGAGAACTGATGGGCAGGATTCCCTGGGATACTAACATGAAGGGGAAAGGAGTCCAGGGGAGCTGGCAGTATTTTAAAGAAGCCTTATTAAAGGCACAGGAAGAAACCATCCTGATGCACAGCAAGAAAAGCAAATATGGTAGACGACCAGATTGGCTTACCGGGGACATCCATGGTGAGCTTAAACACGAAAAGGAAGCTTACAAGAAGTGGAAACTTGGACAGATGACTAGGGAGGAGTATAAATATATTGCTCGAGAATGTAGGGTAGTTATCAGGAAGGCAAAAGCGCAACTGGAATTGCAGCTGGCAAGGGATGTGAAGGGTAACAAGAAAGGTTTCTACAGGCATGTTAGCAATAAGAGAGTGATCAGAGAGGGTGTGGGGCTCTTATTGGATGAGTGAGGTAACCTAGTGACAGATGATGTGGGGAAAGCTGAAGTACTCAATACTTTCTTTGCCTCTGTCTTACAGGTTTCTACAGCCATGTTAGAAAAGCTAGACATACACAAATCCATGGGCCCGGATTTAATGCATCCGAGGGTACTGAGGGAGTTGGCACATGTCATTGCGGAGCCTTTGGCCATTATTTTTGAAAACTTGTGGAGATCGGGAGAGATCCCGGATGACTGGAAAAAGGCAAATGTAGCGCTCATCTTCAAAAAAAGGAAGGACAATCCAGGGAACTACAGACCAGTCAGCCTTACCTCAGTCCCCGGAAAAATCATGGAGGGGATCCTTAAGGAATCCATTTTGAAGCACCTGGAAAAGAGGAAAGTGATCAGGTTAGTCAACATAGATCCACAAAGGGCAAGTTGTGCCTGACCAATCTGATTAGCTTCTATGATGAGGCAACTGGCTCTGTGGATATGGGTGTGACGTAGTGGGGGTACTTGCTGGGATGTGGTGACCCCTGCTGTCTGGAGCAAAACCCAGCAGGGAAAACCTCACTAGGCAGAGATAAGGACAAACTTGTTGAACCAGTGGCCAGACACCCCCCATGGAGAGGAACAAAGGAAGGTGAATGCGGCCCTGGCTGGGGGGCAGGGCTGGAAGTGGGTTAGTTGGTTGGTGGCTGTCTGGGAGGATGGACGAGACAGCCTAGGGAGAGGAGCTGGAGTTTTAGGGGCCCAGTCTCCCCCATCTCAAGGGGGCCTGAGGCATCCTAGCCCAGTTCCTGTAACCAGATTACATCTGTGCTGCGCTGTGCTGGAGGAGCAATAAACCACCCTCAATTCCACTGGCTGGTACAGTCTGTTTGTGCCATTTCGGGGTGCAGGAGACGGGGAACCCCCAACG